AAAGGTCGAGGTGCAAGTAGTCGACGAGAATGGCCCGGTGATGTATTTCGGACCAGCCGACGTGGGGCAGGTCGAGAGGCCTCATAACGATGCCCTGATGATAACTGCCCAAGTGTGGGGTTACGAGGTGCAGAGGGTGATTGTCGACACCAGGAGCTCGGTGAACGTGATTTTTTATGATTGCCTCAAGAGAATGGAGCTTGAAATTGAACTCATCCCCCCTGCACACATCGCTTTTTGGATTCAATGGCTCAGAAGTCGCACCCCTAGGAGAAATCATGCTCGCTGTCGTCCTGGGAGAAGGAGACTTAAGAAAAGTCAAAATGGTGAGATTCGTGGTGGTCGATGTTGAGTCGGCCTACAATGTGATTCTCAGAAGGCCAGCATTGAACGCGTTCCAGGTTGTGGTGTCAACTTACCACATGAAGTTGAAGTTTCCCGTGGGAGATTGAGTCGGGGAGGCTCGAAGAGATAAAAAACTGTCGAGAACCTGCTACCAGATAGCAGTAAAAACCAACCAGCCAGCCGAGATCAAAGAAGGGAAGAAACCAATGTCGAGAGAGAAAAGGCCGAGAGAGAGTGACCTCGAGCCGCATGGAGAATTAACGGAAATACATATTGGAGAGATAAAAGAGCAGACCACTAAGGTCGGGAAGAATTTGGAAGGCGAGCTGCGAGACCAACTTGTTGCACTGTTGAAGGAGTTAAGGGACATATTTGCTTTCACCTTGGAGGAACTGACGGGAATCGACCCTGAAATCATGGAGCACAAGCTCAATGTCGACCCTCTCAGAAAGCCAGTGAAGCAGCGACATAGACACCATGGTGTAGAAATCGACAAAGCTATTTAAGTCGAGGTAGACAAATTGCTGCGAGCAGGAAACATCAAAGAAATCCAATTCCCCGAATGGATATCCAACAAAGTGATGGTGAGGAAGGCATTAAACAAATGGCGTATGTGCATCGACTTCCGCGACCTGAACCTGGCATGTTCGAAAGATCACTATCCCTTACCAAGAATCAACCAGCTAGTCGACTCTACAGCTAGCTGCGAGTTATTGAGTATGATGGATGCATCTCAAGGGTATCACCAAATCCCCTTGGCCCCAGAAGACTAAAGCAAAGTGAGCTTCGTGACGAGCAAAGGGACATACTGTTATGTCGTCAAGCCCTTTGGACTCAAGAATGCAGGAACGACTTTCCAAAGACTGATAGATCGAATGTTCAAGCCGCAAATCGAATGTATATGGAGGTGTATGTGGACGACATTCTGGTGAAAAGCAGGTCCTCGACTCACATACTGGAAACTTAAGTGAAACATTCACAACACTAAGAACATTTGGGATGAAGCTAAACCCAAGTAAGTGCGCCTTCAGAGTGAAGGCAGGACGATTTCTTGGCTATGTTGTAACTGAGAGAGGGATTGAAGTAAACACGAAAAAGGTGAAGGTTATACTCGACATGGCCCCACCGAGGAATATCAGGGGGAGGTGCAAGTCCTGACCGGTCGAATTGTTGGTCTAAGTAAGTTCATTGCTCGGGTTGCGGAGAAAAGTTTCCCATTCCTTTAAATTACTCAAGAAGAAGTCGACTTTCATGTGAAGTGAAGAAGCTCAGGTGGCGTTTGAAAAGTTGAAAGAATTCTTGAGCGAGTTACCCTTGTTAACAAAACCTGAGCCTGACGACGAATTGGTGTTGTACATCTCGGTGGGAGTGGTTTCGATGAGTTCGCTTTTACTAGGAGAAGAGGAAGGCTCCCAGCAGCCGATATATTATACCAGTCGTGTACTCTAGGGAGCCGAGATGAGATACTCTGAAGTCGAGAAGGCTACTTTAACTCTGGTAATAACGACGAGGAAGTTGAGGCCGTATTTCCTGAATCATACCATACTAGTGAGGACAAATTTCCAGCTTGGGGGAAACACTGGGTCGACCTACTGTCTCAGATCGACTCGTGAAGTGGGCAGTCGAGTTGAGTGAATATTCCATCAGATATGAGCCCAGACGAGCCATAAAGGCTCAAGCTTTGGCAGATTTTATCCAAGAAGGCACCAAGGGAGAAGAAAAAAAAATGGGTCATGCATGTCGATGGATCTTCTGCGGCCAAAGGATCTGGTTTGGGAGTCATCCTTGTGTCTCCCGAGGGCTAGCAGCTGGACTTTTCCATAAGAATCTGGTTCAAGGCCTCAAACAATGAAGCCGTGTATGAGCCACTAATCAAAGGAATTCAACTCGCAATTGGTGGACGAGCAACATAAGTCACAGCGTATTCTGACTCACAACTTGTCGTGGGGCAGGTGTTGGGAAATTGCGAAATAAAGGAGTATAGAATGCTAAAATATGTCGAGGAGATTCAAAGCCTAATACAAGGCCTGGAAAAATTCGAGTTAACACAAGTCCCACGAGAGGAAAACAAGCGAGCCGAGTGGCTCGCGAGGATCGCAAGTTCCAATGAAGGTAGGATAAAAGGCCGCATTACCATGATGCGCTTAGAACGAAGTGTGCGGAGCGAGACAATTGGAAGTCGACGAGAAGGATGATTGGAGGAAGTCGATTCACGAACTCTTGCAGGGACGAGTGCCTGCAGGAGACAAACAGGAAGCGGAAAAAACTGCTCGATACCTCAGCAGATACTTTGAAGTCGAGGGGATTCTGTAGAAAAAGTCACTGGTCGGGCCCCATCTGCGATGCGTTTTCGAAGAAGAAGAAACTCAAGTCTTGAGAAAGATCCATGAAGGGTGTTGTGGAGCACACATAGGGTCCCGAGCTCTGGCTGGAAAAGCCTTGAGAGCAGGCTACTATTGGCCTAAAATTCGAGCAGCGGCAGAACAGCTGGTCCAGAAATGCGAAAAATGCCAACGCCATGGGCAAATCACTCACATCCCAGCTGAATATATGACGACAATCAACACTTCAATCCCCTTCGCTCAATGGGGAATCGACTTAGTGGGCCCGTTGCCAATGGGAACGGGACAAAAGAAGTTCTTGGTGGTCGCTATCGACTACTTTAGCAAGTGGGTCGAGTCAGAACCCTTGGCAAAAATCACCGAGGAAAAAATGATTCAGTTTTTGTTCAACAACATAGTTGTCGATTTAGAATTCCGAAGGTGTTGATTTCAGATAATGGAACACAATTCCAAAGGAAACGGATCCAAGCATGGTGCCTCGACATGGGGATCAAGCAACGATTCGCCTCTGTCGCGCATCCTCAGGCAAACGGCCAAGTTGAATTAACAAACAGAACCATTCTCCAAGGGTTGAAGAAGCAATTGGAGAAGGCGTCGGGAGCTTGGGTTCACGAGTTGACAACGGTCCTATGGGCTTATAGGACGACCCCGAGAAGATCAACGGGCCAGTCTCCATTTCACATGGTTTGCGGAATGGATGCACTCCTGCCCATCGAAGTCGGCTCGAACTCTCACAGGTCGACATTCTATGAGGATAAGAGAAACGAGGAGATGGTTGAAGAAGCCCTCAACCTGATTGAAGAAGGACGAGAAGAAGCCTGGGTGCGGTCCGTCGAGTATAAACAGAAGATGCGCGCAAGTTTCGATAAGAAAGTTCGAACTAGGCAATTCCAAGTGGGGGACGTCGTCCTCAAACGAGCAGACGCTCTCAAGCATGTCGGGAAGCTTGAAGCTAATTGGGAAGGACCCTACACTTTCACAAAGTGCTCGAGAGAGGTGCATATGAACTCAAGGATGGGGAAGGTCGACAGCTGCCGCGTTCTTGGCACGTGATCCACCTGAAACGTTTTTATGCTTAAGGCAATATTCTAAACTCCTTTTTGTACTGAACAATGTTAAAATCGAATTCAGTAATGAAATGAATCTCAAGTTTATGCTTCAATTATGTCCTTTACATTTCTATGTCGACCTTATTATGATTACTTTAAAAATCGAATTTTTCAAAATGGCTATGTAGCCGACTAACTCCACGAATTGCCGAAATTGTTTGTGTTATCTTATCAAATATAAGGAAGTTCTATACGAATATTTTACGTAATGTTTGTAAGTTATTTCTTGTAGAGTTATCCAAGTTACTTTTAAAAATATTTTTTTTTATTGGGTGGATGGATGACAATTTGATATGTATTGGACTGAGTAATATAAATAATTTAAATATTTTGTAATTTTTAAATTTAGCTCCCACAATATTGGTTTAATTTTACGAATAGTGATTTATTAATTGATATGGTGTATAAATAAAATTTCATCTTAAATCCTTTTTGACATTTACAAAATTGATATAAGTTACATGAAATAAAAAAAAAACAACAAAATTTATATAAAACAGTTACATGTAAAATAAAAACAATTCATTTCATCAGTAAATATGTTTAAAACTGAAAAATCATAATAACATTACGAAATTTATATCAAACACACTAATAACTAAAAAAAGTTCTATGTCACATAATACCTAATACTAAATAATACCAACTCATAATTTACGGAACATAAACCACACACTAAATAAATAAATGGGAGATTCTACGATCCCTTCCGTTGGGATTTTTAATCATTAAATCAACGATTCACGAAGACTGCATAATAATCTAACGGTTACAAACTCGAAATGGTAACGGTAACTTTTCCCTAAATAAATTACAAACACCAAACAAGCAAAAGTACTCTGTCACCTTCTCTAAATAGAATGATAGACATGTATTACATAAGAACTTATAATAACTTAAACCAATAATACTAAAGAGCCAACAGTTGGTTCCGGAACCAACAACCAATGAGACAATTTTATGTGGGGTTGTCCCACAATACTTTAATGTAGAACAGCCCCACATGAAGTTGTCCAATTGATTGTTGGCTCCTAGCATTACTGTAACTTAAACACCTCAATCTATCAAAATTCAAAACCTGAAATACGTAACGTGCGCCCACTGAAAACAAAAACAAGTATTCGAAAAACAAGCACACTGAATCTTAAATAAAGACATTGAAAAAAAAAAACAGTTGCACTTACTCCAGGCCCTTCCACCTAATTCAATTATCACCACCGCCACCGTCAGCCGCCATCCTCTCTGCAACAGCCGCGAGGGACTTAAGGTTGAGCCCAATTATTGTATCCGCAAAAACACACGTGTCACTCTCGCAGCTGTCCACCGGCACATCCACGACGTACGACTCCATCACCACCGTTAAGGTCCTGCCGCCCTCCTCCTCCTCGTCCTCCTCCTCGTGCAGGGTCACAGTCGACCTGTAATTGACGAGCCTGTGGTCCCCGCCGATGATGCGCACGACCATCACGTGCCGCTCGTCACTCAGCCTCTCGAGCACCTCCGTGCTCCTAACAGCCGGCAGCCCCGACACCACCGTCACCTCACGCACGCTGCCGGGCCCGCCGTCCCCGGACGACAGGTGGCAGCTCCGGACGTACTGCTTGTACGCCTGAGGCCTCGCGAAGTCACGCACGAGGGACCAGACCAAGGGCAGAGGGGCGCGAATGGACTGAGTAAGCATCGAGCCGCACTGATTCGGGTTGAGCGTGTG